GGGCGGGGGCTGAGAGGAGGGGGGTAATCTTGTCTAGTTGAACCTGCAGGCTCAGGCTGAGGCAGCCCAACAGGCAGCCACAGCACAGATAAGCACCGGCCTCCCCCACCTTCAAGCTGGGCTCAGCCTGGGAGTCAGGACGCCCAGCTCTCACTCTGGCTGTGGGCCCCTGAACTTGTGGCTTCCCCTCCTGAGGCGTGATCTTCCTCCCTGAGGGTTGAGCCAGGTGACCTCCATCATACGAACCTTTAACGGGACTTCCATGTGCAAGGGTGTCTCCAACATGGGTGCAGCACAAGCCCTGCCCTGATGGACTGACAGGTGTGGGAGAGGGGGTGGCCAATGAGGAGGTGTCACAAAAGTGTGAGAGGCCACAGGGGGAGTCCTGAGAGCCACCCAGAGGGCCTGGGTTCAAGGCCCAATTCTACCCTGTGTCTTAAGCAGATTTCCTCAGCTCCATGAGCCTCAGATTTCCCATCTATAAAATGGGAACAATTAAATATATGCAAAAGTACTTAGAACAGTGTTGAGCACCTACTCAAGGTTATGATAAATGCTATTATTTATTACTGTTGTTGTTATTACAAGGCAGAATGTGTACATGCCTTCATGGAGATATAAAACAGGCTGAGGCCATTGGGGGAGGAAAGATTCATGGGGATGTGGGGGTGGAGATCTGGGAAGGCTTCTTGGAAGAGGTGCCCAGCTATTTATTCATTTCAAACGGGCCGGATCCGGGCCGCGAGCGGTAGTTTGCCCACGGCTGTGCTAGTGGTTCTGGAGTCTAACACCCTAGGCAGCCCCCTCCAGATGTGTAGGGTACCCAGGTGGCACCCAGCCCCCTCTCTGAAATTCCACCAGTGAGTCGCTGCACTGATCAACTTACCCACATATGCATTCACTTGGCCCCTGCTTATTGGGTAGCTACTGTGTACCAGGCTCCACACGCAGAGCCAGGGGTGCAGAGATGACCAAGACAAAGCCCTTGACCTCTAAGGAGCTCAGATCAGGTCGGGGAGACAGATGAGAAAGAGCAGGGACGACCTCTGCTGTTCTGGGGGAGCACAGGGGCCAGTGGAGGCTGGGCTGAGTTGAGGGGCAATCTGGGGGGCTTCTCGGAGGAGTTGTGCTTGCGTGTGGGCAGCCAGGTGGGGGAAAGGACACATACCTGAGAATGCAGTGAGCTCACCTCATGTCTGTTTCCCAAACC